GTAGGCAAGGGGTCTGTTTGGTTTCGGACCCTAAACCCAAAACCCTAAACCCTCAACCCTAGACCCTAAACCCTAAACCCTCAAGCCTAAACCCAAAACCCTAAACCCTCAAGCCTAAACCCAAAACCCTCAACCCTGAACCCTAAACCCTAAACCCTCAAGCCTGAACCCTAAACCCTAAACCCTAAACCCTAAACCCCAAACCCTAAACCCTCAAGCCTGAGCCCTAAACCCTAAACCCCAAACCCTAAACCCTGAAGCCTGAACCCTAAACCATAAACCCTAAAGCCAGAAGCCAAAGCCCGAAACCCCTAGAGCCTAAACTCTGAAGCCTGCAGCAAAGAGCCTCTCCACCCGGACCCAAAACCCTAAAAGGCCCAAGGCCTAGGACCCCAAACCCAGAAGCCGAAAGCCACAAACAGACGTGTGTCCATGTCGCAGCTATAGGGTCGGGGTCTCTATAGCTTCCTTTTCGGGGGCACTCGAAGCTGCTGAGATGTCGGCCGGCACTGCGGTGGCGGGTCAGGGTGGCAGAGTCCAGCTAGAGGACTGGTCTGCACTGCCGCTGTACTTGCTGCCGGAGCACTGGCAGATGCTCCAGAGTTCAAGCAGTCCTGCCGTGCTGCGAGCACAGGAAGTGCTGGATTGGAGCATTCGCTTGGGCCTTCGCCACCCGTCTGAGCAGACACTGGCGATGATTGCACGATTGGTGAGCCTGCCAGAACCGATCCTGGAAGCGAACCGCCAGAAGCTGCACCAGACACTGCTCATGGTGAAGAGTGTTGCGAAGACGAGGCTTCTGCGAGCACGGCTGGCCGGGCGGGCACAGGCAGCCCAGCTGCGGGTCTTGCCGGACAACACGGCAGGGTTTCCAGCACACGTGGCGAGTCAGTTCTTCCCGAATGGGTTCACTCAGCCGCCTTTTGCCCTGGTAGACCTGCGAGCTGATGCCCGACTTGTGCCTCTGAGGTGCACCAACACTGCCTTGAGCCAGGGCTTGTCGCAGCGGCCGGGTGCAGAGCAAGCCCTACTTCAGCTCGTGCAAGTGGTGCAGACAGCCTTTGCCGGGCAGGCCTCTCCTGCTGAGGAAGGGCTGAGGAACTTGCAAGTGTTCAGTCGGCAGCAGACAGGGCTGTTGCAGGCGGGCTCGCAGCAGCTGCAGTCTCTGCTGCAAGGTGCAGAGCGAGCTGGTCGGGAGGCTTCGGCAGCTCCGCCTGCTCCTGTGTTGGCTCTCACGGACGAACCTGCTCCAGCAGCTGCAGCAGAGCAAGTGCAGCCCCAGCCAGAAAGCACTCCCTCAGCAGGACTGCAGCAGCAGCCCGTGCCTCTGGAACCTCGGAGGGAGGAGTCGTCCTCTTCCTTGGGTGGTGTGGAAGCTTCCATGCAAGCCCTGGCTCTGCAGCACTACGGAAGCGACTTGGCCCCTTTCTCGGGTTCTGGCGAACAGGGTGTTCCCGACCCGGCTACCTCAGAGGCAAAGACGAGCCGCAAAGGAAGGGGGAAGGGCGGCAGTGGCAGGGGCAAGGGCAAGGTGAAGGTCACGGGGCAAAAGGGCCGAACCGTTCCAGAAACGTTTAAGCGCCCAGCGGCGGCAGTGGCGACACTGAAGCGACCAGCCGCCGCCCCGTCCGCGCGGAGTGGCACCCTCACGGTGCAGGAGTGTCGCCGGCTTCGCCCCCAAGGATGCTCCAAGTGTCGCCAGCGACCGGGCTGCTGCCCGAGCTGCTGGCGAGGACGAGGCATCGTGGTGGTTTAAAGTGTTTTGTGAAGTCTGGATGCTGCTTAGCCTGCATCCGATGAGCTGATCCGAAACCGAAGTTCTTTAGACGGGGGCCAAAGGAAAAGAAAGCTTTCTTTTCTTATAGGCCGACAGGAATACAAGCAGCCTTCGCAAGCTCCAGACCCGCAGCCGTTTCTTTGCTCAGAGCATGAAGGGCAAAGGCTCCTCCTTTCTCATGCCGATCTTTGGCATAAAGCAATGCCGTCTCTGCTTCGCCTGGGTCATCAATGAAAGGACCAGCAGGAGGCTCCACTGCCGCAGCCCCTGCCACCGTGCCATGGGGCTTTGGAGGCGGCCGGACAACACGGCCACCTGGGACGAGTGCTTGCAGGCATGCATGGATCCGCCTTCGGAGACAAAGGGGCCGAAGACGGAGCCCAAGCCGAAGCAGTCTGCTGCAGCCGGTCCCTCTAAGATGAAGAAGAGGAGAAGGAAAAAGAAAAGCACGAAGAAGAAGGAAAAGAGCCAAGGGAGCGAAACAAAACAGAAGTCTACGGAGGAGGACTTGCTGCAATCCGAGACGGTTTCCTTCGACGAGTTCCTTCGTGCCGGACACTAACTGCAGCCTCCAAGTTGCAATCGCAAGGCAGGAAAAAAAAAGCTGCCGGGGCTCAACTCTTGGGCCTTTTCCTTGGCCAAAAAAACAGCCGAAAAGCTAAAAATGAGAATGTGTTTTTTTTGTGTGTTTTTTTGTGTTTTTTTGTGTTTGTGACTTGGCCGGTGGACTCAAAATCAGGCATGTGTTTGTGGGTCGGTCAATATATATTTAGTAGGGAGGAGCCCCAAACACATATGTGTTTTCGGCTCCCGGCGGAATTCCAAAAATGTGTTTGTCGGGTTTCTGGGGGGGGGCTGAAATCCTAGAGTTTTTTCGGCTCTGCTTCGGCCTGGAAGTCACAGTTTGGGCTGCTGAAAGCTGGTGCTTGAAAGCCTGCCTGCAGCAGCTTTTCCTGCTCAAGCCGGTTCCTTCGACGTGGCTGCTGGCTTCTTTGGCTCCTCAAAGCATGGCAGATGCTGAGGAGACTGTGAAGGCTGACTCCTGCGAGGAGACCCAGCCGGAGGTTGCTGCTGCCCAGGCCTCGCTTGAGGGGAGGCCTGAAGACGAGCAGTTGGTGCCTGCAGCTCCGGAAGCTGGAGGCAGTGGGCCAGCTGTGGAACCTGCGGCTATGTTGCCTGCGGCTCCGGAGACTTGTGTGTGCAGGTACTGCAAAGCCGAGCTGCCCTGCTCCGAGTGCCACGACTACCCTGGGATCACGAATCCCCACCGCCGCGGGGGCTGCAAGCCTTGCCACAACGCCCAGGTTACCTTGCAACGTCACGGCATCCGTGCCGAAGAGCTCTGCCACGGGGAGGGCTTGGACAAGTACTTTGCTCAGCTCCGCCGCGAGCGGGAGGAGCTGCAGAAGGCCGACGGTCGCCTCACCTACGGTCGGATGCGGGCGATGCTGAAGCACCAGATCGTGTCGGAAAGGGTCCAATCCTACGAGTCCTCGACCGAGGGAGAGTACCAGCCGTTGAGCTACTGGGAGCTCAAAGGTTACGATGTGGAGAGCATCCAGGCTCAGGCACCCTGCAAGATGCATGCCATCTTGGGAGCCACTTACCGAGTGGCCATCGACAAAGACAAGCATGCTGAGATGGTGAGGGAGACCGAGAAAAAGCTTGTTGACATGGAGAGCCAACTCTTTCAGAAGAAAAAGAAGAAGGAGCTGGACAAGGAGGGTGCTGCCAAGGCCCTGCAAGACGTGGGCTTCCGGCCGGGGGTGCCTGTGGAGTTGGACTCGGACCCCGGGCTGTCTGAGGACGGCAAGGCCGAAGCCGAGGAGAAGCCCAAGGGTAACAAGAAGCGGAAGACGGAAGAGGAAAAGGAGGAAGCTCGGGAGGAGAGGAAGCGAGCCAAGAGGGCTGAGAAGCAGGACCGTGTGGAGCTTGCTGCTGCGGCCAAGGTACTCCCCTCCCTAAAAGCTGTGGAGGAGAAGCTGCAGAAGGCCTGGGCCAAGGTCACACCTGAGCTGCTGCCAAGCATGGACGAGGAGGCCCGTGCGGATGTAGAGGCTGTCCTCCAGGATCTGAAGGATGTGATGGATCAGGCCCAGACTCGCCTCCAGGCTGCGGCGAAGGGGAAGGCGGCACCGGCCGCTGACTTCAGCCTCTGGAAGTCCGAGAAGGACCTCAACCAGAAAATCAAGGAGGCCAACCAGGCCGTGCGAACCGTGCAGTCCTTCTTGAAGGGGCAGCAGCCGCAGCGACCTGCACAGCCCAAGGCAAAGGGAAAAAGCAAGGCCAAAGCGAAGGCCAAGGCCGCGGTTTGAGGATGCTGCCTGGCATCCTGCAGGGTATTTGCCAGCAGGCCCCGTTTTGTGCCAGAGGCGGAGGGGCATGCATCTCTAGATCTTCGAAGGAAGCACTCGCTGGAGCGATGCTCTGACAAACAAGTTTGAATGCAGCGGTCCTTTCTTAAAGGAGTTTTTAAGCTTGCGAGTTGGAGGCTAGAAGCTTTAAGCCAGGAAGGGTTACTTGAAGGACTGCTGCAGCCCAGCAGGGCTGGAGCAAAGGCTTCCCGGCAAGGACCGGCCCGGCGCAATGCGCCAAAACGGCCGTTTTGTTGGAAAGGGTGTCATGTTGGAGACCCTTGTCGTGTAGAACTTCGCAGCAAAGACATATAGGGAAGCTTCGTGCTGCAGCCGTTTGTTTTCAGGTTCAAACATGCAAGCTTCTTGCAGTAACCCAGGCTGCCGGGCCCTGCTGGTGGATTCCAGCCACCGGCACTGTTGCAGTCTCTGCAAGTACGGTCGGCACACTAAAAGATGCAGAGCAGTGCAGATGGGTGATGGCTACAAGAAGTGCCGCCGTTGCGAGCGGCAGGCAGGCCCTGGATACAGGGTGTGCTGTGGACTGTGCAGGGAGGGGCTGCACAGCCCTGGCTGCGACATGCGAGAAGCAGTGCGACAAACCGCAGTCTGCAGCCCGAAAAGTCTGGACTTGAATGCCATGGACTAGACCTCGCCGGCCTGCCAACAGAAAATAAGTGAGAAGCCTTTTAGTGGAGTCGCCTCTAAAGCTTTTTGTCGGCATGCACACACTCTCTTCATTTTTTCGCAGCACTCCTTGAATTTGGCAGCTAATGCCGAGGTTTCTCCTCCAAGCTGCTATTATGTTTCCTAATGGCCGTAAGCCTGGCACCCATCCTGCTATCCATAGCTGGCTCAAGCGAGGCCAGCCGGCCGTGGACTCACGGCAGGCTGCTGTGAGCCCTGACATGTGCTCATGGCAAAGCGAAAGCATGAAGGGGAAACCCCCTCATCGGTAAGGAGCCTTCTGACCGAGGAGACTTGCAGAACGGCTTTGGGCCGTTGGTCTGGTGAGACCATATGGAGAATGACCCGCCTGCTGGAGCAGGGCAAGCTGGACGAGAAGCGGCCAAGTGGTGCCTTCCGCCGCAAACTGGACAAGGTGCTGGGGCCCATGCGAGCTTGCTTCCAAACCCGTCGGCTGCCGGCCACGGATGGCCGAGGCGACGTAGGCTTTGTGGTTGCTGACATGAAACAACTTCTCTTCCGGGTCGCTGAGCACAGTCCAGAGATGAAGCACTTCTTCAGTAGCCACCGTCAGCTCCGGGTGATCTGGGCTCATGACGAGACCACGGGGGGCAATGTGCTCAGCACCGACCCTTCCTTGAAAGCCCTGCTGTTCTATGTTTCCTTCGTAGAACTGAAAGACCACCTGCAGTCGCCAAGCACTTGGTTCCCCGTTGCCATGCTGCTCCACTCCCAGATGAAGCTGTTGCCTGGCGGTCTGGGCCAGGCTACTGTAGCCTTCCTGCAGGCTTGGCATGAGCAGTCCTTGGACCGGCCCTTCTTCCTCTGTTCGGAGGTGGAAGTGCAGCTCCAGCTGCATCTTTTCCTCAGCGACCACGACAGCCAAAGGGGAGCCTTCCATGCCAAGGGATCGGCAGGCTTGAAGCCCTGCCTGTTTTGCTGCAACTGTGTGGCCAGGCACAGTCCAGCTGCTACTGCTGGAGGCGGCTTCCACAGCTTCGACCAGGAGGACCTGTCTCAGTTCACCTTGTATAAGTCCGCTGAGCTGGTGCCCTACATGGAGGCCGCTGTGGCTGCTGCTCCAACCATGACCAAGAAAGAACGGGAGCTCAGGGAACGAGTCTCGGGGTTTCGTCTTGACATCGCCGAACATGGCCTCTGGGGTGCCGGTGCTGCTGCAGCCCGACGGCTTCTTACTGTGGAGAAGACCTGCAACGACTCCATGCATGCCTACTTTTCCAAGGGTATCGCTGGAAGCGAAACGGTTTCGTTTGTGGCTGCTATTAAGGCCCACACGGGCCGGTCCATGCGGGAAGTGGCCGATGCTGTGAAGGCAGCCGGCTGGAAACGTCCCGGCATGTATCAGAGAGCAGGCCAGAACTCTAGCTGGACAACCCGGCTCTTCAACTCTGTCTTCTTCGAAGGCGACAACTACAAGGGTTCTGCTGGTCAGATCCTGGCCCTCATGCCGCTGCTGCGGTTCTATGCCGCCAAGGTGTGGAGCCGTGTCCCGGCCCTGACACAAAAAGCTCATTGCTTCCTTCTGCTGTGCTTGTGTGCTGAGCACGTGCAGAACGTGCTCTACACAGGAGACACGGATGCTTTGGACGAAGCCCAGCGAGCCCACCACAAAGCTTTCGTGGAGTGCTATGGCTCCGACATGCTGAGACCAAAGCATCATCATCGGCTGCACTTGGGAAGCCACTACCGACAGTTCCAGTGCACCCCTACCTGCTGGCCGGCTGAAGCCAAGCACCAGCACTTTAAGCAGTTCTATGCCGAGGCCTGCTCTTCGCAACTTGGAAAAAGTCGTGAGGGTGGTTTCTCTAGAACTGTGCTTCCACGACTTCTGCACCGCAGCATTGAGCTCCTGCGGGAAAACCCCCCACTTCTGGATGGGGCTTTCGAGCTCCTCCAAGCTTTTTCTGAGGACGAAGTCCTCCAAGCTACCGGTGTCGATGGATGCCTGCTGGCCTCCAAGTGCCGAGTGGCTTTGTTGGAGCTCTGGCAAGACGACATTTTGCTGTGGGGGCGAGAACCACGAAAGGGAGGACGTTGCCGCTTCTTCCTTCGGAGGAGGGACGTGCTGTACGTCGCCTTCGAGCCGCTGCAACTGCAGAGCTGCCGTCCAGAGGAATGTGTCTTTCGCAAGACAGAACAGACTAGCATGCTACGTTTTGCTGACATGCAGCATCCAAGACTGCCTCAATGGCAGTGTGAAGAAGGTGACCGCATCATCTGCCTGCCATGAAAAAGTCACCAATCGGCAGGCTTTTCAATGGAAAACCATGCTTCAAATGCACATTGCATGCATTGTCCAAAAAAATACTGACATTGAATAGAACAGTAAAACATATAGCAAAACATATAGCAAAAAAGATACAAAAAGATATAAAAAGTTATAAAAACTTATCACACTTAGCATATCTTTTTTATGACTCCTTTATAAGCGACTTGGCTAAGTCATTCCTAACTCTC